GGGAGAGATGGAGAGAGAGGAAGAGAAAGGAAAGGAATGAAGGAGGGAGAGACATTATTATAGGTGGACAGACAGCATAATATTATGTTTAGACATGCAATAAACCAGAGAAAGAATAAGAACAGTTAAAAGACTTATTTACGCTTATTATGATGTATATCTGTCTGTATTTTTGTGTGTGTATACAAGTATATACATGTATGTTTGCATAAGTATGCACCACATGTCATTGTATGTGTAGAGTCATAAGAATTCAGGTTCTTTTTTTGTACCCAGGATTAGTTCTAAAAATGAGAGTTATGGGTCTTAGCTGCTTTGAGAGCTTGAACAGATAAAACTTAGACTGTTATTGTTCGCTAGTTTGCGATTGTGATAAAAGCTTGGTTCAATCACAAAAAAGCAGCTTTCTGTCTTGGAACGTGTTTCTTGAGTCGACAGTTCTACAACAGTGCCTGTTCAACTAGGTAAAAGAGCAGGGAAATAAAGCTTTGTAAATCAATTCTCTGCTCCTGAGTTTGTGTTTGGTTAGGGTACCATAAATATTACATAGACTAGACCGGGACAAAAAAGTATTTGGCAAACACAAAAAGTCTGTCTACACTTCGAGACGGGTTTTATTTGTCACACAACTACCATAAAAATGTCTCAAAAACGAAGCAAGCCATGATCTTTGGATCTTCAGTATGAACTTTGATGCGATATAGGAAGTGATAGATAATAGGTATGATATGTTTTGAGACATCCTTTGAAGACCCATGTGTAAGTTGGGGGGAGGGGGGAGGGGGAGGGGGAACACGCGGGGGTGTTACCAAGGAACGACAACAAGCAACTGCCTAACTTGTGGTAGTGTTTGGAGTGGGAATAAAATAAATAGTTGAGTCGCTACCCGACCGCACGTAGCAGAAGTGCATGCACCATCTTTTATTCCTCAATGTCTCTCCACCACACAACCTTCCCACCCCAGCCTATTATATAGATTGGAGACAAAAAATCAAAGTGAAAAAGCACATAGAGAAGGTGGTTAAGGCTAAAAGCTAGCCCCACCCCAATCCCACCTTAAGGACTTGAGACTCGAAACCAAAGTGGAAAAGCAATGTGGCTTAGAGAGCAAGCTGTCTCCCCTCCCCCCTTTCCCCTTCCCCTACTGCCACCCCACCCCTCAACCCTGCCGTTGCTGAAAGATAGAAAACAAACAAAGTAAGACACTCCAACAAACCAAACTAAAAAAACCACAAACAAATGAAAGCAAAAGCAGAACAAACAACGAACAAGCATTCAAGATAAGAAACTATCTTTGGCCACAAAACATTTTGATTCTTTCAGGTATGTCGAACTAAGGTGTGCTTGTGATAAAAGTAGTTTTTTTTCTCTGTTTGCTTGCCATCTCCAACTGCATCGACATAAGTTCATTGCTTCTTGAGCATTTAATGTTGTTCTCAAGACAATACAGGCACTGGTCACGCAAAGAGATAATCTTGCAGCCACGCCAGAGCACGTGACCTTCCTATAGCAATAAGCGTGCAGTCTATTCAAACTATCAAATAGCGTGACGAGCAGTAGGCAACTTTATTGACAATTCTAAACAATAATATATTTTATCACTGACATGACATGTACGCTCCAGTTTACGCAAATGCTTGAAACATTCATTTAGTACACACTCATAAACACACCCAACACTCAGGCATGGGTCTTACTAAGCAGCGACAGCCGCCATAATATACCAAGCTCTTGGTTTTGTGCTTGAAGCGGGAATCCATGGTTATGTGTCGCTATCCATCCTGCACGTAGCAGAATCACCATCTTTTATTCCTGATCACCCCCCGCCCCTTCTTACACACACACACACAGACACTTACACACATACACACACTCATACACACACACACACACACACACACACACACACACACACACACACACACACATACACACACACGAACACATGCATACTTACACATACACTCACAAACATATACATACACACACATTTTTCAGCATCTCCAGTCGCTATCCAATCCCTGTGTGAGGTTGGAGGGCGCCACTGATAGGTCCTACTTCTTTACTTCTCCTCTGCTGTTTATGTCTGTCTGTCTTACTATTTTCCAGATCTAAATGACCATATTTTTTATATCGATGCGCTTTTCTTTACTCAAACAGACAAACAAACAGCTGACAATATAATAAGTTGATCTATCCAATAGCATATAGCAGAATCACCATCCTTTATTCCTGATTACCTCAACCACCCCCCCCCCCTCCTCCCTTCACTCATTATCCATAGTGCGACTTTAGTTGCCATCATCGTTGCCTCTGTTATCGGCGGCCTCATTATCATCCTCCTCATCGCCCTGTGCATCTACTGCTGCATGCGCAACAGGGACGGGCGGGACGAGTATGAAGACAACAAGAAGATGCGAAGAGAGGAGGACGAGTACGGGGATAAGAATGTACTCACCCAGACCTACAGGGGAGATGCTGACAAAGCCGTGCTTACAGGTCAGTACAGCAAGAGATGTTCTAGCACATTTTTTGTTGTTTGTTTGTTTGTTGGTTTGTTTAGGAGCGAGGTTTAAAAAAAAAAGAAACTGATGATGGTCAAAACAGCATGTTTAAAGTAGAGGTTCTGTCACGTTTTAATTGTTCGTTTGTTTGTTTTTGTTACTTAGTTCTGGCTCTGAGAATTTTACAACCTGACAATGTTGCAAAGGGCGATATACTTATTCAACTGCGCACCTTTCTTTTGTTGTTGTTGTTGTTGTTGTTGTTGTTGTTGTTGCTATGTTGTTGTTGCTGTTGTTGTTGTTGTTGTTGTTGTTGTAGTTATCGAATCGCCGATGGTTAAATGGTACCACGGTTACATTGTTTTGTTCTCTCCCTTTATTGTTTCTGTCAGTATGGGAGATTGAAGAGCGTCACTGTTTCTTCTATTCCTATAGTGTTTCTGTCTGTATGTGTGGTTAAATATTATGTCCTACATCGGCCCTTTCCCTGTTTTCTCTGTCTCCCTTTTTTGTGTATCAGCATCACATGTTTGCTATCGTGCCAGCATGCCTCTCATTATTCATATAAAAGGCAACACGTTTCCTCTTTTTTCAATGTCGATGTTATTTTACCCGTCCCTCGAACCCCCCTACCCTTATTTAATCGACGCAAATTGGACGCACACTTTGAGCCTGCCCGTCAGGTCCAATATCAGCTGAGAGGGATACAACGTACCTGCCGAAAGACCCTGATACTCGATAAGAATTCTTTCCACATACTTTTCCTTGGGAGATCCACGGAATGCAGCGGTTAAAATATACTTTTCCTCGCGATCGTAAGGTCAGGCTTGGTTTACCCCCCACCTCTCCATTGCATGTTTTTGTCTAGGAGTTCACAAGGTTCTGTCATACTAGGCCAATCCCTTCATACAACGATGTGAAGAAGTAGGAGCAACCATTTAGCGAAAATCGAAATCTGCAATGTTGAAAGGGGTGTAAAACTTGTGCTCTTTTTCGTGTTTTTTTCTTTCTTCCTTTCTTTCTTCCTTTTTAGAATTTTTATGCCTTTTTTCATACTTATGACGTCAACTAAATCCGCAGTTCCAAAACGGAATGAGGCATTTTTAAAACATCTCTGTCTTTGGAGAAGCTAACGTTTGAGTGAACAGTTTTGATTTCCTTTCACACATAACGGCTTGAAAGACATTTTTTATCATTTGGTTTGCGAAAGGTAGGGGACAGTTGTGCAGTTTAAACATATAACCAAAAAGCTAATGTTCTCATAAAGTAGTTGAAAAAAGTAAAAACTGTAAAAAAGAAAATCTCAGTACGTTTTCATTTTAACTCCAAGTAAGCAAGCATTAAAGGGCGGGGTTGAAAAGTGGTTTTAGTGTAGTTGTAGAAAATGTCTTCAGACTTTCATTAAAGGAATCACGGTTTAAGATTTAACGATCGACAATTTTCTGTTATGTTGGAATGTTGAGCTTCACGGGAAAGAGACGAAGCAGAGACTATTTTGCAAAGATATTAAACACGCATAAATATACAATTGTATACCAATTACAAATGTCGATAGACGTGAATGAAAAGATGAAAAGAGCAATCTAGTTTAATTTTTTGATTAAGTTTCTTTATCTTTATTATCGGTGGTATGAGCCATCTTTACATCAAATACAGAAAGTGATATCAAAGGCAAAAAGTTGTACCAAAACCGAAAGTAATACCTAAGACACAAAGTCATATCAAAGGCAAGCATTCCTATCAAAGACAGAAAGTTATGTCAAATACTGAGAGTTACACCAAATGCAGAGGGTTACATGAAATACAGAAAGTTATACCAAAACAGAGATTTATATCATTTAATAGAGAACTGCACGTTATGTCCGGTGTTGGGTTTCCTTTCCGCAGTCATTGAGCGCATCTTGAGAGTAATGTTGCTATCATAGCTACACAAATGCACATACAGGTTTCATTCATATGCAGGCGTAACATGATTATATTCCAAACTAGCCTAATAGAATTCCCTTACGCTTATTGCTGTAAAAGAGGCAGAACCAGTCTCTTGCTGTTCTGAAAACTTTTACGGTTTGTATGTCTGTTTCTTTTTGCCCCCCCCCCCCTTCTCTCTCTCTCTTTCTCTTTCTCTCTCTCTCTCTCTCTCTCTCTCTCTCTCTCTCTCTCTCTCTCTCTCTCTCTCTCTCTCTCCCTCCCTCCTTCCCCTCTCTCTTTCTCAAACTCTATTTCACTCTTTCTTCTGTATCTCTCTCGCTCCTCGTCTTTTTGTGTCTCCCTCTGCCTCCCAGCCACACACACCATAGCCTACCCACTTCTTTCCTCCTATCTCTCATTATTCACTCCGTGTCGTTTGTAAGCAAATCACCCCGCCCCCCTTTCCTCGCCTCCTAAGAAGTGACATATTGAAAATCATTTTATTTGGATTATGCAACTTTAAGTTTATTTGAAGTCACAGTAAATTTCGATAATCTAGCTGACACTCACACACACACATACACACACACACACACACACACACACACACACACACACACACACACACACATACACATACACATATATACATTCACACACACACACACACACACAGCCAGACACACACACATACACATATATACATACGCGCACTTATATACACACGCACGTACACACACACGAATACACACATATACACTTATGCTCTCTCTCCCACACACCCAAACACTATTATTCGCTCTCTTTCTCTCACTCTCTCTCTCTCTCACCCCTCACCCCGCACACACACCTCTATCTCTATTTCCATGTATCCTTGTCTAGATCTAGAGTCCGGTAACTACTCGCGGGAGGAGAAGCGGAGAAACCCCTTGACTGTTTTCGTCACTAACAAAGTCCAGCCCAGGAAGACAGAGTGGGATTACTCAGGTCACAGAAAGGAGTTGTACGGTGTAAAGACCGTCTCCACACAGACAGGAGATCACGAATCAGAGCCAGGAGACATTCTCATCTGGTCTAGGGGGCGATGGTTCCCTGTCAGGGTGCCTAAAAACGCCGTAAAGGGAAACAAGAACAAGCGAGATGCTAAAGTCGGGACAAGCGACAAGCCGTCAAACATCGAGGTGACGAAGACAGTCCGAGAAGACAGACGGCCGATACCCCAAAACGCTGGTGTGCCTTCTGACATCGATGACGTATTCAACTCGAAAGACAAGTCCATCCAGACGCCGGCGCCGACGGCACCACCCACCATCAGTCGATGGAACAGCAGCAGTAACATCTACACCCGTCGCGACTCGCTCAGAGACTCCAGTGACGACGAGCTAGCCAAACTCTCCTACGCCACGCCCCGACCCACCATGTCCAGAGCTCCAGAAGACACCAGGGACAAGAGGCCGGACTTGAACTCCAGACTTCGGGATCCGAACCGAGAAGAGAGAGACAGGGCCAAGCTGCAGGGCTACGTGGCTTCCTGGCAGAAGCCGATTTGGAAACCGCACACCAAAGGTCACAATGACAACGCATACACAAAGGCCAAGTGGCTCAGGTCCTACGATTTGGCTAAGAAAGAAGTAGAAAGTAAGAATTAGATCTAGTGTTCAATTCAGACTAACTCCTTTTCGTTACTCAAACGAGGGCAAAACTGTCCTTGTTTGGAGTATAAAACCACAACACGATCAGGTACTTTCTACTTCTTATTATTCATTTATTTATTGTAAATATTTGATGAAATGCTAGAAAGTAGTTTGATGTTCAGCACATACTGATTGATCATTTGTGTAAAGTAGAACATACATAATCATGCTATATTCAGGGAAACATTTCAATGTTGCTAAGTATGTTGACGCAGTGTATAAAGTGCCTATTTGAAGAATCAATAGACACGTTTTGACATGAGAAGGTAGGTAGAGAATATCTGTATCAGCTTCTCGTCTAAGAACGTATACCTTGTCTTGATTATTTTTTCTCCCTTATCTACCGTTACATGACAATGTGATACATTCTGAAAAAAGACTTGGCAGGGCATTGTAGATATTTTCGTAAGCGTAAAGGTATTACAAGCCGAGGGCTTAAACAGGACTTCAAGAAAGAAGTTTTATCAGAGTGACGGAGGCGAAAAGCATAATTTATGGCTGCTTCAATCAGGCGCCTAAATGGCTAAACGTGAACATCTATGGTTCGCTGTACTCTTTAACAAGTAAATTATATGAATGTTCTGGATGTGCACAATGTGCAGTAACTGTTAGCACGCTCTACGTGTGTGCGTAAACTGCATGTTTCAAGTGTGTGCATAAACTGCCTACGTGTTCCACGTGTATGCATAAACTACACATTCAACGTGTGAGCATAAACTATCAGTGTGTTTCACGTGTGTGCATAAACTGATTTTGTGTTCAACATGTGTGCATGCTATGACTTCGCCGCACTAAATGAGGTCAATTGCATCCCTGTCTTTTCCCCGGTATGGCGTCACCTGTTGACTTTTTATTTTTCTAATTATCCCAAAGCTCTCTTGTAACTGTATAATTATACTACAATATCTATCAGATATTTTCGTTCTCTAAACTACAAGAAAGCATATCAAAACTGATGCTTGAAGAAATCACAAAGCATTCACTTTTATGGGTCATGCTCAAAACTTTATGACTTTGATTAATCGTGATTTTAAAGTTATACCATTGTCTGATTTCTTCCCTCTTTTCTTTCAATAGGTAACCGCATAATAGAAGAAAGGCGGCGAGGTAATCACGATATGATCGAGGAGGAAAACGACAAACATATAAACGAAATAGAAGAAAAAAGAGATAGACCATATACCGAAGATAGACAACAAGTGCGGACAGATCTAAAAGCGGAAGATAGGTATGGGCAACAAAGAGCGAGACAAAGGCTTGCCGCTCACGAAAAGCAAGCTGAGAGGGAAAAACAAGAAGAAAAAGATAAGCAGGTTAAGCAAAGTGAGCAAGCAAGTCGAGCTAAGCAACGCAAGACTGGAAAACGAGAGATTCAAACTAAAGAAGAGAGGCAGAAAAAACTAGAAGGACAGGAGAAACTGCTGGTTCACAAAGAACATTCAAATCTGCAAGAGAAGCAAGATTATGAACAAAGTAGGAAAGAAAAAAAGGTGGCAAAAGATGGTCAAGATAAAGAAGATAAACAGAACAAACAATATGAGAAAGACAAACAGGAAAGACGGGGCGTGCAAGATGGACAGGAGAAGCCAGAAAAGAAAAATAAACAAGATGAACAAGACAAACAAGAACAGAAAGATAAACGACTAGAGCAGGACAAATCCGTCGAACAAGACATACAGCAAAATAATGATAAACAAGAAGAACACAATAAGTACGGCGAACAAATTACATTTGAAAAGCAGGAGAAACGGAATGAACAAGCCAAGCAGGAAAAGCGAGTTAAAGAAGATAAGCAAGGTCAACACACGGAACAAGAAAAACCAGATAAGCATGGTAAAGATAACAAGCACTTATTAAGTCAAGGTAAAGAAGATAATATACAGGATAAGCAAGCCCAGCAAGGTCAACGCGATACGACAGATACGCGAGATAAAGAAGACAAACAAGAGGATAGGAATAAAGAAAATATACAAGACAAGCAAGACAAACAAGACAAGCAAGATAAACCAGACAAGCAAGATAAAGGAGCCAGACAAGATGATAATGATAAAGTTGATAGACAAGAAAAGCAGGATGAACAAGGTAAACCAGACAAGCAAGATAAAGAAGACAAACAAAATGCTAAAAATGAAGATGAGAGACAAGATAAACAAGATAAAGAAGTCAAGCAAGATAAAGAAGACAACAAAGATGATAAAGATAAAGAAGGTAAACAAGGCAAGCAAGATAAACAAGACAAGCAAAATAAAAACGATAAACAAGATAAAGATGACAAGCAACATACAGAAGACAAGCAAGAAAATAACAATAGGCAAAATAAAGAAGATACACAAGACAAGGAAGCGAAGCAGGATAAACAAGATGATCAGCAAATACAGGACGAGAAAAGTAGTCAGAAGTAACAAAGTAAGGAAGTTAACCTGAAAGCGGAAGATGGACATGGCACGTAGGGCGAGTCGGGACGTTCACATAGAACAGACGAGTAGGATGAACACTGGCACATCAGCTCCCACACACTAATACTGACAATCTTCTCCCAGGCATATTATAGTATCGAGGCTATGAACCCTCACCAACAGCCTCCAAGTACGAAGGATCGAAGCTTTGAACACGGAAGAGCAGCTCGCAGATGTTATAGTATCGAGGCTATGAGCACAGTGACAAATAGCTCCCAGATAGGTATTGAGGCTATGAAGACCGATGCTGCAGCTCACATGCGATATCTCCAGACAAGCCAGGACCCCAAAAGGACAGACATATTATTGAATAGAGGTTATAACCACTGTTAACGTCAGGAATCATTCCTTGGACCCCAGGTCAACGTTCGGGACGATGTTCACACTGGAAAAAGAAACACCAGCTCAGAGACCAAGCGTTAAAAACGCAGGCTGGCTAACAAGGGTCATTACTGTTTAGTACCGTAAGGTTTTCCGATTTGCTTCAAAGACTAGTATTATCAGTTGCTCGCCAGCTTTATGCTAACGTGTGTGCCTTGCTATACGACTACAGCTTGCTTTTCTTTGCTTGCTACGTTTCTCCTTGGAAAATATTATATTATTATTATGCTTGGCTCTTTTCAGCTTTACAACACTGCAGAGGCCTTGTGTTAAGTGTGTTGCATGACGAATAATCAGTTTCTTTTCAGAAAAAAAATCCACACGCGCTCACAATAAGGATAATTGCAAAACGCAACGTTGGTTTTACGTTACAGAAACACTTCACATATCCTGGTAACGATGCGTTTGTGCTGAACATTCTGTTTATAATGTGAAACCAACATTCTCTTCAATTCGGTCCAAAATGTATGCCCTCAGAAATTTTGAAGATTATCATTATTTCCGAAATGTATTATGACTTCCTTCCCAGTAGAGCGCTCCAATCCACGCAGAATAAAAACCTGTGTATATCCCAGCTCTCTCCATAATTATCAGCCCGGTATGCCCATACTCCCTTCATGGTTCTTAGTCCTGTACGTCACTGAGCCCATTATGTCTCCTAGCCCTCTATGTCTTTACATCCTTCCTCGTTCCTAGCCGTGCATGTCCCTGCACTCTCTATGGTTCTTAGTCCTGTATACCCCACCACCCTGTACATCTCAGCACCTTTTATCTTTCTTAGCGCTCTCTGTCTCTGAGCCATACGACATGTCTTTTAGCCCCGTATATCCCAGCACCCTCTGTGATTCTTTGCCCTGCATGTCCCTGCACACTCCGTGGTTCCTAGCCCTGTATATCCCTACGCCCTTCAAGGTTTTCAGCCCTATATGGTCCTGATCCCTGTATTTCTCAAAGCCTTATAATATATATCTTTGAGCAATGTATGTCTCTTAGCCCTGCATGTCGCTGTGACATAAAACAATCATTCCAAGGTAAGTGTGGCTCACAGTCAGCACCCTAGTATGTTCTGAGCTTCTCATACCATGCACAGATGTATGCTATAATAGCATTTCAACTGTACAAAAGTTGTGATCCACAAATTGAGCGAGTTTAAGGGCATCATAATAAATGTGAAGGTGTCAAAAGAAAAACAGGATAATTCACATCGGTCTTACCTCAACTAAGCCTCATTTTTGCTTTCGTTTTGTTGAACTTGGCTTGTTCTTAACATAATCTGCTTTTTATAAATGTTTGTAAATGGCATAGTTGGTTGTTTTAGCAGGGATGTTAGGCATGTACTGTTGTAAGTTGAGGGTAACTATCCAGACTGTACCCTTTATTCACATGTAAATACTATCGAAACTATTGCACAAAAAACTTCGAATTTTGACTTAAAATAGTTTAGAATATGTAGAATGGATTTAAGGAATTCGCTATTCAGGAACAAACATATTGATGCTGCATTATTTAAAATGTAATTTTTTCTTTTTTCTTTTCGATTCGTCTCCTTCAAAAAGCAAAGTTGTTTTAAAGATAGTTTATTAAATGTGATTAAACCCCGTCATATCTCCAAGAATGTACCACTAATTCAGTTACCTAATTTATATGCTGATATGAATATTCTTAGAAACCAAGGACAAATCACTACGGCGGCTGGGAATTTATATGCGTGTGTTTATGTATTAGACCTTTTTGGTGGCTTTTTTAGAAAGGGGGGGGGGGGGGGTAAAAGTGGATAGTAAGAATATTACAGTTTTGTGAAAGATTTCTTTTCCGAAAAGTATATTATGTTCATAAGCAATTACGTATTTATTAATATGCTTCTCTTTCGCCTTAGTTGAAATTGCTATCATCATCATCATCATCATCATCATCATCATCATCATCATCATCATCATCATCATCATCATCATCATCATCATCATCATCATCATCACCACCATCACCATCATCACCACCACCACCATCATCATCATCATCATCATCATCATCATCATCATCATCATCATCATCATCATCATCATCATCATCATCATCATCATCACCACCACCACCACCATCATCATTGTCATCATCATCATCATCATCATCATCATCATCATCATCATCATCATCATCATCATCATCATCATCATCACCACCACCACCACCATCATCGTCGTCATCATCATCATCATCATCATCATCATCATCATCATCATCATCATCATCATCATCATCATCATCATCATCATCATCATCATTATTGCAGAAAACGTAGAGTGGAAGAAGAGTAAGAGTAAAATAAGATCACTAAAATAGCTCAACGTTTCGTCACGAATGCTTCCTCATGACTGACTGAGAAAAATCAAAGGGCACTCAATACATATTGCAAATGAAGGTACTCACAAAAAATAATACATGTAATATAATATGCTCTAATGTAATATAATATGTATGTTCTCATTATACACACATTTTACATATATACCTACATTTATAAATACTTTCATACAAATGAAGATAGAATATTTATTGTAATAATCGTCTCATACTGTGCCATAGGTCACAAGTACAATGCCCATTCTTTCCTTATTTCATTCTTATTGACTTCTGTTTGGATTTCACTTTAAAAAATGGTAATATAATAATAATATGACGGAAAACTGCACTTGGCAGTTTTTAACACACTAAAAGTTGTAATTTGAACGGTTAAAGTATTTGTGACTATGTTATGCTTTTAACCGTCAGGCTGTGATAAAAATGTGATAAAAACGAGTTTTAAATGATGAAAATGCTTTTATTGGAAAGTGTGTAATTGTTTGGACGTTAAGTATGTTAAATAATATGCATGTACATATTATGGGTCTGTTATAAAAATATGAATCCAGAGACTATGTTATCAGCTGACTGGGTGGAGAGAAGAGATAAATTGACGGCTTTGATTCATAATATATTATTATGAAGAAATTTGGGATTGTTGTTAACATAATGGTGGATGCCAGTGTGTGTGTGTGTGTGTGTGCGTGTGTGTGTGTGTGTGTGTGTGTGTGTGTGTGTGTGTGTGTGTGTGTGCGCGCGCGTGTGTGTGTGTGTTTGTGTATCTGTTCTTGTGTGTGTTTGTTAGTATGTTTGTGTATGGTTGTGAGTGTGTATGTGTGTGCTTGAATTTGTACGTGT